CTCCAATAATATTAAGATTAAAACACAAAAAATAGTACCGTATTCTTATTTTATTATATAATTAAATAAATAGGCGCAAATTTCTGCACTGAAAGAATATTTTATTAATATTGGTACTGTTATCGCGACTTATATACATTCGTGACACTCTGCGACACTATTTCTGTGCCAATTCTTCTTTTTTCGGGTAATGTTTTATTATTATATGTATTTAATATTTTAATAAAAATATTATTTAAATAAAAATAAAAAATTATTAATTATGTTTCAATACATTTATTTTTATTTATTATATATTTACATTTTATATTATAATAAAATTATAAAAAAAATAAAAAATATATATAGAATTTTAAAATTTAAAAAAAATAGCTTCTTTTTTTTAAAAAAAAATTCAATTTAGTTCGAATTTTTAATTCGGATTTTGTAATTATTTTGATTTAATTTGGATTGATTTTTTTTTAAAAAAAATTGAATTTTCAAACTCATTCGAATTTGACAAAATTCAAACCGAAAATCTTAATAATCACTCCTAGCTCAATGAGTAAACTTTTGTGCTCCTCTCAATTTTTTTTCCATGTTTTTTTCTTATCTTCTACATGTGTCTTCTCTCACAAATCATCATATTCTTATGGAGAGAGCTCCGGTGAGGGGTCACCGGTTTCAAACGAAAGGCTGACACGTCTTTTCGGCCGTGCCTTTGTAAACGAAAATCTTAATAATTGCTTTCTTTAATTCGGCCTTATTTTAAATCGGCCCTCTGGCTCGCTCATGAGCGAACCCTTTAATACTTTTTTTGCCATTTTTCACTAGTCGATTTTCTACTAATTTTCGTGACTTAAAATTCCTATGTTCAACCTGAAAATTCATCGGTTAAATAGTATAAATAATTGTGATAAACAATATGGGGTCTACAATTAGCAAATTTCACACTAATTCCAATACATATTCCCTGCTATTGAAACAACAAATTAGAAATATTTATAGTTAAATATTTCTTATATTTTATAATTTCACAGTCAATTGTAAATTTAGTGGACAAATTAGAAATATTTATAATTAAAACTCTTTTTTAAAACATAAAATTGCATTAAAAAATAGAGAAATTATTTTATATAAATATATGTAATATATTATATTAATAATGATAATTATAATAATAACAATAAAGACTTAAAGTGTGTTGTTTTAACATTTCAATCCAAAATCAATCTTACTCATTTCACACAGTTTTCAATAAAAATATATATTATTTAAACAAAAATTCAAATAAACACATCATTTCAAATCAATTTTAAACCACAATCAAACAAATATAATATTATTGATTAATTATAAAGAGTTAATGAAAAATATTTTTTATTAGCCTACACAATGCAAATATATTTACTTTACATTCACTTTTTATTTTTATATTACCTACACAGTTTTTCGCACTTCACATTAAAAATTTCAAAATACAAAACAAACAGACACTATGATATTTCGAAGGCACAAAGTCTCCCTTCGTAAATAGTTGTTCCATCTCAAAAAACAATTCTATCCCAGTCCTACATTTGTCCAAACAGTTTAAATCCTCGGTTTTGATTTATCAAAAGATTGAACCAAAATCGGAATTTTCGAATTACGATTTTGGTTTCTATTTGAAATGGCCGGCTCCGATTTGTGTTGTCTTCTATTTATTCATTTTTAATATATTTTTTTTAACTTTTCTTGTGGTTTAGTTTTATTAAAAAAAACTATTAGTTTTGGTCTCTATTTTTATTTAGATATATATTCCCTCTGTCCGGATAAAAAGTATATACATTTCTATTTTGGAACGTCCAATTACAAAGTAAGCATTTTATTAAATACCTCATTTTTTTTCCACAAATACCCTTACTTTACATCATATCATTATTTTTATACCAAAAAGTAAGGGCAAAAATGTCATTAGATTATTTTTAACTACCTACTATAATTAAAATACTATTATTTCTTAAACACCGCCCAAAAGTAAATATATACTATATCCGTGGACGGAGGGAGTATTATTTATTTATTTATTGTGTAAGAATTATACAAATAATAATAACTTATTAGATTATTACAATATAAAAATAATTAAAATAATGAATTTAATAAATAGTTAATTTAATATTTTGTTTGGTTATAATTTGAAATAATTTAAGTTTTTGTTTAAATGTTATTATAATGCTATGTTTTGTTAGAAAAATAATATATTTTATTGAAAATTGTGTGAAATAATAATATTATTTTGGTTTGGAATGTTAAAAGAATAAATCCAAAATTTTAAATTAAAAGTAAATTATAAAAAATATTGGTGTATTAATTACTTCGTCCGTTTCACTTAAATTGTCTATTTTAACTTAGGTACAGAGTTTTAGGTATTCCATAATTAGTAAGTAATTAAGAAATGTATTAGTAAAAATAATTATGATTTGATAAAAAAATAATTATATAATAAGATTAAAATGACTAAATAGTTTACTTAAAATAAAAAAATTATAAATTATGAATTTTAAAATGTCATTAAAGTTTACAATTATATTTACAAAATAAGAAATGACATATTAAATGAGACATATGAAAATAGAAATGATGGACAAATTAAGTGGGACGGACGGAGTAATACTCTCCCCGTCATGTCTCGGACAAAAGCATCAACTTGAATTTTTGTAATATTTTATTTTTTTTGATCGGAGAAAAAAAAATATATGTATAATAGTTTTATATTCGGTCTCTTTGTATTTATATGTTTGATAATACTTTTTTTAGTCCTGAGATAATTGATACATTTTATTATGGACACCGTATTTAAGGTAATAATATTTAATTAGTTAATAATAGAGAATTATGATATTATTTTATTAATTTTTTTATATAATTAATAATATTGATAGTTTTAAAATAAATTTAATTATTTGATTAAAAAGAATTAGAATATGTACTTAAATATTCCGAAATTTATATCCCAATAAAAAATAGATGCAATATTGATATGTACAAATAAATAAAACGTTTTTTTATTTATTTATTATTAAAATAAATTAATTTTATAAAAATGTAAGTTTTAAATATAGATAAAAAAAATTATGAGATAAAAATAAACATAGTTTGAGTGAGTCATAGGTTATGTATTATGTTATATATTATGTAGTTAATTTATATTGATTTATATTTGTTAAATATATTTTGATTTAATAAATTTATTCAGAATAAAAATGTGTCAATTATTATGTGATTGATACAAATAAAAAAAATGTAAATTGTTATGGATATAATATAATTTATGTATAAATTAAGGATATTTTAGTATTAATACGTTATTAAGAAATATAATTAAAGATAATGGTATAATAGAAATAACAAAATTAAATTTTTATTATTATTATTAATCATTAATTTTTTATTAATATTAATATTATCTTTAATTTTATTTTTATAAAAACTTAAGTAATACTAGTATGAAATAATAATTTAAGAAAAAAATCAATTTTGGTTCCAATATAACCAAAATTTATCAATTTTGGCTCCAATATAAAAAAAAAAAAAAACTCATAAATTTTAGTCCAATTGTAAACAATTTTTATTAATTTTAATCTCACCGTTAAAAAAATTAGCGGAAATGGCTAACGTGGATGTAACGGGGTTGACGTAACAACTACCCTGGAAAGTACATGACCATGTACAATTATACATGGTCATATTGTCACGCCGTCATGTATATTTCAATGTATAATTATACACGACCATGTATAATTCTACACGGCCGTATATCTTTTTGTTTTGGTCTAAAATTTTATTTGTTTTGTTATATTTTTTTAAAAAAAATATTTTGAATTTAGAATAATTGATATAGTTAAAATGGAAAAAAAATCAATAGTAATCCTAACATAATTAAAATGTATCAATTTTTGTTCAAATATAAAATCTTATTGACTATATTCTTTTGAAAAATTTTGCTTAAAATTCTATTATTTTAAAAAAAAAAAAATCTATTAAAAACATTCAATTACACTACTATTTTTTTATTTTTGTATATTATAGTATTAAAAATTAATTTTATATTTCAATACAATTATATATGTGTCTATGTTGAAATTGTTTGAAATTATATTGAAATGTAAAATAAAATTTTAATATAATATAAAAAATGAAAAATAGTTGTGTAATTGAATATTTATAAGAGAAAAAATTTAGATGAATAGTAGAATGTTAGACAAAATCTTTCGAAAGAACATATCTTATAAATTTTTATATTTGAATTAAAATTAATACATTTTAATTATATTTCGATTACTATCGATTTTTTCCATTTTAACTATATCAACTATTGTAAATTTAAAATATTATTTTTAAAAAATATATTAAAAAATAAAGGAAAAGTTTAGACCAAAAACAAAATAGTATACATCCGTGTGAATTAAACATAATCGTGTATAATTGTATACTGAAATATACATGATCATGTGACAACATGATAGTGTATAATGTACATAGTCGTGTACTTTTCAGGTCAGCTGCCACGTCAATTCTGTTACGTTCACGTCAGCAATTTCCGTTAATTTTTTAACGTTGAAATCAAAATTGATTGAAATTGTTTATAATGAGACCAAAATTTATTGAAATTATTTAGTATATGACTAATATTGATGAGTTTTTTATATTAGAACCAAAATTGATAAATTTTAATTATATTTGAACTAAAAATTAATTTTTGCCCTAATAATTTTAATTATAAATACATATTTTCTATAAGCATTTTAAGTTTAAATTTAAGAATAGTTTTGAATTTAAACAGTTAATTAATATATTTTATAAATATATTAATGAATGTGATAAAAATTAAAAGTTAACTGATATTTTAAATACTAAATAAGTTTCTAAGTATAATATAAAATAATAATTATTTAATTTAATATTTTTTTTTAGAAAATATTGAATAATAAAAATCCGCCAGAAATATTTATTTAATGCTGTTTGCCCTAAGAAAAACATCCACTCCCGCAGCAGCCTACACCGGTTCTTCTTCTCCTTCCTTCCGTTCCTCGTCCCCATTAGCCCACCCTCCCAGCTCCTAAATAATTTTGTTAACCTTAGCCACCAAACCCATTTCATTTCACAGCCTCTCCCACGCACTCGACTCACCTTCCTCTTCCATGTCTCCCGCCGCCGTCATCTTCTTCCTCACATTCGTTCTCCTTTTTTGCTGCTTTTTCGTCTGAGATTTGTAAGTTTCTTGCACTACTTTTAATTTGTTTTTTTGTTATTAATATCAACTATCGGGATATCACCTTCTCGTTTTTGTTTATTTTTTTAATTTTTTTTTTCAATGGCGGCTGTTATGAGGATTTAAGGTTTTGATTGTTTGGTGTTAGTTGCAATCGATTGTGTTGATTTTATTGAATATAAGTCAAGTTTAAGGGTTTGCATTCTATTTTCTTTAATTGTTGGTAACAAAGTTAATGTTGGATTTATACAACTTTAGTGTTAATCTCTCTGTGTATGTTTGGTGATAATTCCTGAAGGTTTTCAAGGATGTATTAGTGCTCAAAATGCTCTTGGTGTTGTTTATTGTGAGGAGACTTTATTGATGGCATTTCTTTGCTTAAAGTTAATTATGCTCCGGTCTTGTGACTTTGATTTTGGACATGACTCCATTTTGGCAGAATTTTTGTTTGAATCTATAGGCAGTTGCTGTTGACCTTTTGCATGTTTTTATGATTGGTAGTTTTTGGGTGATCCTTAATTTTCCTTCCCTTATCAATTTTCTTGGATTAGTTGTTGAGATATGCCCGCATGATTTTCTACATTTTGTAGTGTGCACTTTTCACCTACTGACATCTATATATCTTACCCATTGTGAACAAAGCAGGTATTAATGCTATGTTGTTTTAGAAGGTGGGGCTGGTTTGGAATAGGTGGGAGTATGATTACTTGTGGACCAATAGAGATTTTTTGGTTATTCTTTCTTCGGTGTGTTTGAGCTTCTGATTTCCATTAGCCATTTTCCTTATCAAAATTTTAACTTCATTTCCATATGCTCAATTTCAAAGTTAAATTGAGCTCCTCAGTACTCCTAATTCTAAAAAACTGCAGTTTGAGGATATCAATGCTGTTTTGGATTTCCTGCAGACCAGTGATATAAAATGTGAAGAAGCTATGTTTATTGGATTGATTCGGCATTATGGGAAGGCAGGTATGATTGACAAAGCTGTGGAGGTCTTCCCATGAAATGGGGAGGTCATTCAACTGTGTGCGTACTGTTCAATCTTTTAACACAATTTTGAATGTTTTAGTTGATGGTGGTTGGATTCCCAAAGCCGTAGAGCTTTATGAGAATGGTCGGACAATGGGATTTAGGTTGAATTCAGTTACATATAATATTGTGATGAAAATGTGGTTGGGAAATGATGAAACCGATGAGGTTGAAGCAGTTATAACAACTCTCCCGATTTTGCAGGTGTCCCCGCAAGCGACAGGGGCAACGGTGGGGGCGACCGAAGACAAATCCATGCCTTATAGCCCTCAGACACCAACATAAACAATGACACCTGCAGAAGTTCAGACTCCTGCCTCAGCAAAATCATATGAAACATTAATCGACGAGGAGGAGGATAAAGAAGAGAAGAAATTTATAGAGAAAAAAGCTCAGTTGCTTGCGGAAATACAAAAGCTCCAACAAAAGCAACAGCTTGAGCGAGAGAAGAAGAGGAAAATAAAGGTGCTGGCCAAACTACTGAAATACTGGAAGCCGCTGACCCAACTCCAGTTGCGCTTCAAAAGATACTTGGAGAGGAAGAAAGCCGAACAGCTGGAGTACGAGGCAGCTTGGCAGCTTGTCTTCTTGAGGGATGTCACTCCCAAACCAGCACCCGATTCCGAGGATGAACCAGAGCCAGTAGATGTCAGCTCATCTGAGTCCGAGCGACAATCACCAGCACCCGCGGAGGCAACCACTTCAGCCTCCCGCGCGACAGTCGAAACTATTAGGAAACGACTGGATAAACTCGATGAAGCGATGCTCAGCCAATACCTTATGCTGCAATCACTAATTGACTCACACTTGGGGAACTTGGCTGAGATACTGACTGCTGAAAGAAAGACGAACGCCGCACTAGAATCGTGCGTTAGCGCGCTGGACACTCAAGTTGCAAGTCTGGGTGTGAGCCAAACTGAACTTCTTAAGGCCATCGCAGCCATCACCCAGCAGAATGTGATAATCATGGAACAACAGTTTGATATAACGAAAAGAGTGCAGCGAATTGAGGAGTTAATTGAGGAGTTAGTGCGGCAGCAAAGCAAGAAATCTCCTTCGGCAGGATGTGGATCCACGGGCCCCAAGGACAAATGAATTCGGACCATTCCCCTGTCATGTACATATTTTTGGAAAATAGCAAGGCTTGTACATAATTTTTGATCAATGAAACTGACAGGTTTTTGGTAACAAAGTTGAATTTTTCAGTACTGTATGCCTATCATAATTCCAAACATGTGATATTACTTGAAATCCTTTTAATACATCGTTATGTTAGTCTTATCATATGTTTTAGAGTAGGGTTAGACAACTTGCAAGCTCTAAACTTAAGTTAAACCAAGAAATCCGCTGATATGATTTGTAAAGGTTAGTGCCCCATTCGTTTCATTTTTCTCATACTCGGTAAGGCAAACGAATTTTTGTGTATCGACTTCGCTCAAACAAGATGACTTGAAAAGAGAAATTCTTAAATATTGTTTGAGATACGATGTAAGCAAAGCAAGAATGATTAAAGGAGATTGAAAAGGCCTAGGTGTGTGAAAATCAAATAATGTCACGAGTAGACACAATGTTTGTTTGAAACTCGTGACCCATTGCAAATCTAATGAGTAATAAAAATAAAAATAAAAAACTGATTCTCCACATCCTTCGGCTTAAGGTTCCCTTATTCAAAAAAGTAGTCCCCGCTGAGCTAGCAAAGTTGATTATATTTGGATGACTCCGCTCATGTTAAATCAGCTGACAAGTTTTGAATGCTTAAGATTCACTCTATCCATAACCATGGCACTGATCTTAGGCAATACTTGACTGCCTTGAACGGGGCAATTCTTTATTCACGCGATTGAATTTGTTCGAAGACGAACAAAGGTTTAGTGTGAGGAGGTTTGATAACTCCAAATAATAGCATATTCTTTGTTTGACAAAACTGTGTATTACTTGAATTTCGGTGTGAAAACCATTACAATATCTTATTTATAGTATACTTTATTGATATATTTTGCTTGACATGATCCCGAATTGGTTTTTCGAGATTATTAATGTTTTTGGCCTTTTTAAGCGATATTTCTGGTCCAGAAAAGTTAAGTCCTAAAAGTCAAGCAACGACGATGTCCGCTCAATAAGCGACGCTCTTCCCGCTCGAGTCAGCGACCAGACATCCGCCGCAACGAAGCGTGAGTGAACCGCTCCAAGGAAATGCCTAAGTATCTAACTCGGAGCGGTAAAGCCTTTCCGCTACCAGCCAGCAAGGATAGCCCCGCTTAGCTGCGTTGATGCCCTGGGAGTTATGGCTAGTGCAACTGCTTCAACAGAATAATCGCCCCCAACTGTCTAACCGCTCAGCAGTTGAAACAACTTCTTAGCTGCTCGCAACTGTTGTCCCCTCTAGCTATAAATAAGGTCAAATATCTCTTGCAATACAGGGAAGAGTATGTTCAACACACATTCATGCGATGTGTCAGCAGACTCAGCTCCAATTAAAGATGCAATGCAACAACAGGTGCTTATCTTTTGCCCCGCTTATCTTTTGCCCCACACTGAGTCATACCCACGTTAGGGGAAAGAAAAACAACAATTAACCAACGGGTAATTCTTCAGTGATCTATCTAACCTTCTCAGAGATGAAGGTTCCCAGGAAAGAGCCACCTAAAACAGCAAGCTGCAAATTCATTGATTATTTACTTGCTTGTTAGCCAATATTTGACCTAAAAAAAAGCTAAACAAATTGTCCATGGTTGCAGACTGCACATCGTTTCTTATGGGCTTTCTACGTATGTACTTCAAATGAAAGGTCTATCAGTCTATATCAATAAAATGGTTCAGAATCACGGAAAAATAGAATGATATAGCAAGTAGTAGCAGGGCAGAACTACATGGGGTTAGGGAGTCAGTTGACCGCAACCCTCAAAATATATATATTATTTGATGTAAAAAATAATAAAATTATATATTTTATAGTAATTTATCCCTCTAAATTTTTTTATTTTGTGATATAGAAAATTATAAAAATTTTATCCGTTTGATTGTTTTTTGATTTATACTTTTAGTCTTTAAATTTTATTTTTTTAGTAAAAAAAGTTTTAAATTTTGTGTAAAAAAATCAATTTTGCACCCCCTCCGCCCCGAATTTTTACAGCTGGTTCTGTCACATAGTGGTAGCGTAGGTTTTGTAAGTTGTTGCTACCTGGAACTATGTTTCTGAGCTGAGATTTGATAAGTGCTTATTTGATTTATTTTTATAAGTATCTGAGTAAGGTGATTAGCTACTGGAGCCTAAAGTTTTACCAATGTCGCTACTTAGTGACGGATGGCTTGGGAGGTCAACTGACCCTCCAAGCCTTTTCCAATTTTTTTTTTTAAATGTACTTTTTTTTTAATTTTTTATTTATTAATCAAATTTGTCTTCCAATTTGAGATTAATATTCTACGTAAACCTCTGTATTATTATTATTTTAGTTTTTAATAATATATAATATTTTAATTTATAAATATATTATATAAAAAATAAAATATTTTATCTTAAATATTATTTTCGTTTATTTTTTTTTTCTTCACAATCACATTATAGTGTTAATAAAAATTTTAAAAAAAAATTAAAATGACATCAAGTTGGTAGAAATGAATCAACGAGAAAGTTCTATAGTCCCTCCGTCCCATAACAAAGTATCCATTTTTTTATTTTAGTCCGTCCCAAGTATTCATTTTCTTTTTTAGTTACTGTACTATCTACTTAACATTACAAATACCCTTACAACTTACAATATATTACACAAATGTCATAAGGTTATTTTAGTCATTTCTATTTTATTTCTACTATATTTTAATATAATAATAATATTTCTAAAATTACGTGCAAAAAGCAAATGGATATTTTTTTATGGGACGGAGGGAGTATTATTTTTTTGTACACAAAAACAACTGAATGACTGTTTCAAATAAATACAAGCTCGAAATAAGTTGAAACTAAAAATAAATGGTGAAAATAAAAACAAATAAATATAATAATTTTGCCCCCTCGAGCTGCAAAGCTGGTTCCGTCACTGTTGCTAGTCATGCACCTGCAATGACTCCAAGAGGTGATGCCGCTGCAGCAGGGGCTGAAAGAATGCAGCAAGGGCTGAAAGAATGTAGCAAGGGATGAACTCTGGTGTATAAAGTGATGAACCTGGAAGAACAAGAATAAAACAAGCTTTCTTGAAATTAAAACATGATAGAGAGCTAAGAGTAAAAAGAAAACAAAATCAAGGTCATAACTTCCTAATTATCACACACATATATATATATATATATATATATTTCTTTAGTTATTTATTAAAAATTTATTCTATAGAAAATGTAATATAGATTGATATATTTTTAATTTTTAATTAAAATTTTAAAAATTATATTATATTAATATAAATATATAAATTTAAAAATAAACTGTTATGAGAAAGAAGGAGAGAATAGATTAGAGAAAAAATGAAAAAAAAAAAAAAAAAAAAGTGTCTCAACGAATTGGTGGAAGAGAACCGTCCAGTTGGTTAGGATGAAAATAGGAAAGAAAGTGACTGAATTGGTTGGATGAGAATAAGAGAACCATCTGTTAAGTTGAGATAGAAAGAAGAGAAACATAAATATAATAAATTATATAAATATATATATTTTTATAACTATGCAACCAACTAATTTAAAAAAGTTTATTTTTTTTCAAAATATGTAAATATGAATATATAAATTTAGAAAAATTAAGAATATAAATGTAGATATTTTCTTAAACATAAAGGAAGTGCTGACCGAATTGGTCGGATGGAAAGATGAGGAAAAAAAAAATAATTATATAAATAAATTTTTTTATAATAGTGCAACCAACCAATCTTAAAAAAAAAAAAATCAAATTATTTTTTTATATTATATTTTTTTAATTTATTTGTTTTTATGTATTATTAAAAAAAATTATTGTCGATATATATATTGACAAAATTGGTCGGTTACCACTCTGAGACGGCCTTCAAGCTCAAATTTAGATATTTTCCTTTTTTGCAAGAATAACCGTTCAGTCGAACTCAAATATTTTTTGTTTTGCGTGCCCAACAAATTCGAAAATTCCTGCATTAGTTTCAAATGCATATTTTATGTATCATAGCATTAGAATATTGTAACTAAGTTAATGTATTAAATAAAATGTTACAATCTACATAGTGATATCCATATTAATATAATTTGCACTAGTAAATCACTACAAAATAATATATTTAAATGGAAAAATACAACCCTCAACAACACTCAATATTAAGTATAATTGACGACGCGGGGGTTAATTGACAAGTTTAGTAATACTTGTCTACAATATTACCACTTAATACAACGGCTGTAAATAACAAATCTTACACTATTAAGGACAATAACGTAAAAACAGGTAGTCATTCGTACAACTCATCCTATATATGTGTTTAAAATTTATTAAAAAATTATTTTCTACAAAATGTAATATATATAGTGATATATTTCAATTTTCTAATTAAAAATTTAAAAATTACATTATATTAATATGAATATATAAATTTAAAAATAAAACCATTATGAAAGAGAGAACAATGTTGGGATGGGAAGATGAGAGAAAGTGGTAGAATGAGATAGAAAGAAGAGAAAAAGAAATATAATAAGTTATATAAATATATATATATTTTTTTATAACTGTGGAACCAACCAATTTTAAAAAGTTTATTTTATTTTTTTCAAAATATTTTTTTATATTATACTTTTCTTAGTTGATTTTTTTTTGTATTATTTCTAATTAAAATTTTAAAAATTACATTATATAAATATGAATATATAAATATAAATAAATAAACGATTACGAGAGAGAATAGGGAATAGAGAAAATGAAAAAAAAATGTCTAACCATCGAATAGGTCGGATGGAATGAGGAGAACCGTCCAGTCGGTTGGGATGGAAAGAGGAGAGAAAGTGGTAGAATGGGTCGGATGGTAGGAGTAAAACCGTACAGTCGATTGGGAAGGAAAGATGAGAGAATGTGGCTAAATGGGTGAAAAGAGGAGACATCTAGTTGATTGTGATGAAAATAGGAGAAAATAAAATATAATAAATTATATAAATATATATATTTTTTTGTAACAGTACAACAATATATTTAAAAAAAAAATTATTATTATTTTTTTTCAAAATAATTTTTTATATTATACTTTTCTTTAGTTAATTTGTTTTTCTATATTAATATTGATATGTTTTAAATGTCTAATTAAATTTTAAAAATTACATTATATGAATATAAATATAGATTTTTTTAAAACAAAAAGTAAGTCGCTCACCGAATTGGTCAGATAAAAAGAGGAGAAAAAAAATTAATTATATATAAGAAAAATTTATAACAGTGCAACCAACCAATTTTTTTTTAAAAAAAAATATTTATTTTTTCAAAATAATTTTTTTATATTATATTTTTTAATTATTGTCGATATATATTGATAGAATTGGTCGATTACTACTCTGAGACGGCCTTCAAGCTCAAACTCAGATGTTTTCATTTTTATGCAAGAACAACTGTCAAATCGAACTCAAATATTTTTTGTTTTGCGTGCTCAACAAATTCAAAAACCACCGCATTAGTTTCAAATGCATTTTTCTTTATATATATCATAACATTAGTATATTGTAACTAAATTATTGTATTAGAAAAAATATTAAGATGTACAAAATAATATTCATATCTATATATTTTGCACAAGTAAATCACTATAAAATAGCAAATTGAAATGGAAAAACACAACCCTCAACAACACCAAATATCCTAATAATAACTGACAACGCGGGGGGTAATTGACAAATTTAGTCATACTTGCCTACAATATTACCACTTAGTACAATTGTTGTAAATAACAAATCTTACACTATTAAGGACAATAACGTAAAGATAGGTAGTCATCCGTATAACTCTTCATATATATGTGTTTAAGATATATGTATATATATTATTCAAATAAAATTTTAAATAAACACTTCGTTTCAAATCAATTTTAAACTACAACTAAACAAATATGATATTATTGATTATCTATAAAGAGTTAATGAAAAATATTTTTTAATAGCATACACAATGCAAATATATTTACTTTACATTCACTATTTATTTTTATATTACTTACATAATTTTTCATACCTCATATTAAAAATATCAAAATACAAAACAAACACACTATATAGTATTTCGAAGGCACAAATCTCCTTTCATAAATAGTGGTTCCATCTTAAAAAACAATATAACAATCCTATTACAGTCCAAACGATTTACGGTTTAAACCGTCGGTTTCGATTTATCGAAAGGTTGAACTGAAATCGAAATTTTTGGAATTACGGTTTTAGTTCCTATTTGACAGTTTAAAATGGCTGGCTCGGATTTGGACTGTCAATTTATATTTATTCATTTTTAATATATTTTTTTAATTTTTCTTATGTTTTAGTTTTATTAAAAAAAAACCTATTAGTTTTGGTTTCGATTTTGTTTAGATATATATTATTTATTTATTTATTGCGTAAGAATTATATAAATAATAATAACTTATTATATTATTACAATATAAGAATAATTAAAATAATGAATTTAATAAGTGGTTAATTTAATATTTTGTTTGATTATTGTTTGAAATTGATTTGAAATGGTGGTATGTTCCTTTAGGCCATAGTTTCCCAAATCTACTATTGGATTCCTGTGTGAGCAATTCTGGGGGCGAGACTGTGCCTACCCCTGACAGCCTCTGCACCTACACAAGTAGGTTTTGACTGTTTTACACTATTCCTTTATTTTTATTTGTTTTTTCTTTTTTTCCTCTTCCTCATCTATCATAATCGATTTCCATCCTCCCCATCTCCACAAGCAAATTTGGAGGGTCCATCTCTGTAGATCTCAGCGAGGGAAGCGTCCGTCTTGTAGAATTGGGCGAGGGTCGACGTTAACCGGGAGGCAGCGAGAAAACGTTTACCCTGCTCATTTCGTCATTCACGGTACGCCAGAATTTCACTTCCGTTTTCGATTTTACGGGGGTTCGACAGATTTGAGTAGTCCGTAGGTGTCGTATTTACGTGGGTCTATTTATTTAAAGATTTTGTGCCGCCGGGTTTAGCCATAGCATTTCGTTTCACGGGAAGAAGTTCCCTGTCACCTCGGGTTTCAAATTTCAAATAGGCATAAATGTATGGTATGCCGTTTACCCGACGTAGGTTATTTTGTTGGTGTTGTGGGCATTTCTTAGGAAAAATTATAAGCATCGCGCCGCGCCTCCGGTCGCCCTTGGTCGGGTTCGACGCCCGGCGAGGAGGACGACCACGTTCGGACGCACCCCCCGTTACTCCTTCCGTTAGACCTTCTAACTTGGTCCGAAGACAGGAAGATGTACATCATTACCTTAGTTAATGTGTGTCGTAATTTCAGGTTCGACGTTTTGTAGAAGAACTTTGCTGTTACTCACCTCACAGTTGCTACGGGGGCGTGTGTACTCACGTAGTTTAAACTAGATTAGAATTCATAGAAGATGAATGTGTAAATTGTAGGAGGACGTTCTATCAAACTACATTTCAAAATAAGAATGCGCCAATGGTTTGGTCGTACTCGTAATAATGCCGGTCGGCGTACGATCTTCGATCCCACTAGATGTGTGGAATCGGTAACGCAAAATGCACTCGTATTGTAGTGTTATTGTTGCTAAATTCGAGTGTCACCTAGAGCCTCGTCAACGTAGCTAGAAATGTAGCGGTGACGAATCAAATATATGAGTTCTCCTAAAATAGGTAAGTCGTTAAGTAGCCTCGTACTAACGTTGTCACGAGCGGGCTGATAGTCACACCGCCAAACCCGAATGGAGCCCCCTCGGAGTATGATATTGTGCGTATCCATCTGATGCTTTGTAACTATGTCATGCCTTCGATTGAGTATTCCTTCGTTCCTTTCCAGTGGTGCACGGTAGGGGGTTCCCTTCGTACAAATACACCAGAGAACCCGTGAATAGCAATCTTCGCGGGCCTTTATGTCCGATCGCGTATAAGGGGTGATCTTCGACAATGTCAACGAGGTACGCCTTCTTACAATTGGAATCCGGTAGGGGTGCGAACTTATGACGTGGCTATATGGAATGTTTGATGTACCTTAATCCCCAATAATCGTAATTGTTCAAGTCCTTCTTCCTATTGGTTTGCAATAAATGTGCTTGCAATATTCCTGTCTTCCCTGCTCTACATGTCCGTAAAGAGAGTGCGAAGCTGGAGGCACACTATGTCCCGGATGCCCATAGCTCCGTCGGGAGTTCTATAATCGTCTATAGCCGCAAAAGAAAACGAAAGGTACCCATCTGCACTGCGCCGTCAATCGTGAAAGTACATCATTCCTTATGTTCTTCCTAGTTATTGCTTTTGTACTTCGTTTCGTATTTTCTCTTGTTCTCCTTCGTAGATGCCTTGTCGCCGTGCTGTTGAGGGAGTTGTGCCCCGTCCCCCAGCACATTGGGATTACAAATTAGAACAATATTTCACTCACATATGTTGGACGCACTTTGTTGCCGAAGAAATGAAGGGGAAAAACTTTCCTCCAGAGGTGTGGTCGGAAATAGTAAAGGAGTTCTTCGAGGAAACAGGCTGCGACTACGATTACGAGCAACTCTATGGAAAATTCAAGCGGATGAAACTTCAATACGGCCATCTATGTGACCTTGTTGTACGTCAAACAGGACTTGGTTGGGACGCGACGACAGGGGTGGTACTCGCTAGCAAGGCTCAAAAAGCTGCTTGGTTATCGGTAGCACTTTTCATCCCAACACATAATTAACGTAGGGGACTAGCGCATTCTTTGATGGTAGCGGTTGTGGAATTGCAGGCGCATCCCGGGGACGGCCACTTACTGATGCGGCCGTTCGCGCACTTTGATTACTGTCATGAAATGTTCAAGGGCTACTATGCCAACGGGGACGCCGGCCAATCGAACCGTGCCCCTCCACGCGGCATGGATTCGGCGCAGAGAAGGACGCAACGAACGGACCCCAGGAGTGCCGGTCCATCTAACGTTAGAGTAGAAGACCTACGCGATGAGTTTGATGGTCCGCACGGGACATCGACGATGAACGAGGACTATACCAGTAGCCCGTCAATGCAGAATCGGTCTGGGGACCCTCGTCGTCGGCGTGGGGAAGTCTCAGTGAATGAAGAGTTCACACGGCGAATTGAAGGACAAATTCAGAGGGGGTAAGAGATGATTCAACAGAGCTTACTTGGTAGGGACAATGAGCGCCGCGAGACCCTCCTCCGAGCGCAGGGCTATTCTCGACTCGTTCACCGATCTTCCCGATGTGGCGTTGGTCCGCGCGTTACGCGAAATATCTTTCCTAGACCATCAAGTGCTCTTCCTCTCGTGGACGCCCGCGCGGCGGAGAATGTGGGCCTTTTTTTTTTTGCGGCGCAGTAGTCATGGAACCTGATTTACGTTTTAAGTTTATGGAACCGACTATGTCATCTTACGTGGTCGTACCTTATCTAGTAGTCGTTTGAGTGAATGTTTCCAATTGTGCCGCCCTTGCAAGCGGCTAGAAGTACGCTTGATTGTTATTGTTGAAATTTCCTATGTTTGATTTAACCCTTTTTATTCAGTTACTATGGCGACTAATATTGGGACGAACTCCAACGCCGACAACAATGGTAACGGCGGTTATCCTGCCTTTAGTGATGAAGAGTCTCGGGAAGAGGATGAAGAGGAAACCATCAGGCGCGATGAGTCGGACGAAGAGCGGATGGAAGTAGCATACGTGGAGGCATTGCATGGCATGTCCGGCATTGCCGCAGCCACATTTGTACAATGCTTGCAGCCAAGATGTTGCTATGACTCCATGTTGAGTGGTTCAGCTTTTACACAAGAGCTTATAAATGGACATCCGGTCAGGATTAAAAATATTTTACGAGTGACGAAGGAGACTTTCCTACGTATGTGCGATACGTTGACTGTGCGAAGATTAATTAAGCCACATGTACAGACGCGTGTAGGGGTTCATGAGGCTCTCGCGATCTTTCTACATACAATTTCCCACTCTAATAGGCATCGTAGCAGTGGCGGAGAGATTTCAACACTCAACGCACACCATCTGGCGCCACGTGAAACGAGTAAGTGAGGCATTGTGTCTACTCGGATTCGAGGTCGTCTCCCCTGCAGATCAAAGTATCACTCACCCTCGCATTGCAAACAACCGACACTTTATGCCTTTCTTTAAGGTATAACTTGTTCTCTGTGGTCGTTATTGTACCTTACCACTTCAAATCACTACTATTGTACTATCCTACAACCTCCTTTTCAGGATTGCGTTGGGGCCCTTGATGGTACCTTGATCCATGCAAGCGTCCCTGCTGCGGATGCACCGCATTTCCGCAGTCGGCACGGACATACCGAGCAGTCTATCTTGGCCGTTGTAGACCATGATATGCGATTCGTCTATGTATATGCGGGTTTTGAGGGGAGTGCACATGCCTCCCGGGTTCTAAATCACGCAATAGCCGTGTCACAAGACTTTCCTCTACCCCCGCCAGGTTAGTCTACCCACATTCGTACTCGAAGTTATCTTACGGGCGTGTACCCATGCCTACTCCTCTAACGTATGCGGGGTGTGATAGGTAAATACTATCTGGCGGATTCGGCATACACCAACTCCGCCTTGACACTTACACCCTTTCGCTCCTATCACTACCATTTGCAAACATTTCGCGACACTCCAGGGGGTCCGCGTGGTCCGAAAGAATTATTTAACTATCGACACTCTCAACTTCGCAATGTCGTCGAGCGAGCCTTCGGGGTTCTTAAGCGGAGGTTTGCAATCCTAAGAGGTCCGATGCCGAATTATAAATTTTACCGGCAAGTAAACTTGGTCCAAGCGTGTGCTACTGTGCACAATTTGATGGTAGCGGCGGGCGAGAACGTAGAAAACCACGACGGAGAAGGCAGCAAACCTGCACTTGAGGAAACGGGGAACTCAACCACGGGCGACCCACTCCCGGATGAGTACCTGGAACTATTTGACAACCCACACAGGAATCAGTTTCGCGAACACCTTGCTAATGGAATGTGGACAAGCAGAGATAGGTAAAACGTAACGAGGGAATCAAAACTAATCCGTAGACGTATGGTAATTAGAATTTCTAAGTTAGGGCCCTTTTGGCCATACTTTCAAATTCTGCATTACGGTTTAAATGTTGTAACGTATTTGCGTAATATATTAGCGTATACCGGTTTGTCTGTATGACAATAGCATTGGACATTCTTCATATTCTATGTGTCGCAGTTGATTCAAAATGTTGTCCCATGAAGTGCACCCCCGATGTGCTCTATGTGGAACACTCATGCTGAAGCGCATAAGCGTACGCTAAGAACCCTGGCCGTCCTTACTTTTCTTGCCCATATTGCCCTCATGGGCAAGGATCCTTTTGGTGGTGTTCGGAGTGGGAGGCCACCGTAGTACAAGATGCCGTAACACAACAACCGTTCACTAGGGGAGCATCAAGTACAACACCTGTAAGGAATGGGCAGAACAAAAGAATGCAGACGGGGAACTGGGAATTGTGGTTCCCTACCGAAACGGACGCAGAGCTTCGACCACATAAAGGGCGAACCTGCAAGTGGACAGTCATTTCAATGATCGTAGTGTTCGTCGTATGCTTCTGGCTTGTCATTTAAATCATAGTTGCAAGCAAGCCTCAGCCCTAGTGTGTAACCTTTTGCTACTACGTGTAATCGATCGGTTCGACGTAATGGATGTTTAGGCAGAGCCAACATACCATTACAATTTTCCGATGTTCGTTTCTATGTAATCGGCATAGATGGTTATGTAGTGTGTTGAATGTGAATTGTAATATTGACTTCGAAGGCTAAGTATTTCGTTTGATGTTTTATAGCGAACGGAGACAACGACGATGCCATACCATGTCACCTTTAATTGCGGAGACCCGCCATCGAGGAAAAATTCAGTTCATGCAATACTAGCGTCATCGTGCACAACCGTGCAGGGTGGGCTTTATTTTTCTGTTTCGGTCTTCATTGAAAGCCGAAACAATGCGAAACATCACACACGGCCGTGTGTATTGTGCCGTAGATCTCTGTTCGTGTAGAGCACGTATGGTACTTGTATTTATTAGGGGAAGCAGTGAAACTAAGACACACTTGCATGGACGTGCATACGTACCTGCATCTCTCTGTTTCCTTTTGTTACCACTATCTGTTTTCTCCTTCAGCTTTGATGCACTGCCATGCGAAAGTACCTGTTTTTTTCTGGCGGGCATTCGATTCGCGTGTAAATGCATTTCTTAATGCATGGCCGTACGAATCATATTTTTTCCCTGTTTTTTGAGTGGCTGTGCACTTTAAACTATTTACTAATTTTTCTCCTTCGTTGCGTTTGTATGTTTTAGGTTATCCTCGCTGCCTGTTCATCGGCATGGCACCCGTGAAGAAGAGGGCCAGGCATACTAAGAAAATCACCGGCGTATCTCCATCCATGGTTCCTGCCTCCGACGACCAAGCTTTGAGGCCATTTGAGAACCCGGCGGATGCGGAGAAGTTCAATTGACTGAAGAAGGTAACTTTTCTTACCGGATGTTACATAACCGAAGAGGTAGTTGTTGCGCTTAATGCAGTGAGTGAGTGTGAGAGGTACCTCGGGGTGGGTGCTTGGGGACGTTTCTTCGACATAAAGGACGACACGCAACGTACGTTGACATTGGAGTTCTTGAGTACCCTAGCCGTTGACAAGAAGCACTTGCACGAGTTCGACTATCCCGCCACACTTACCTTCCGCCTCGGCAATGTTTCAGCTCTCTGTTACCGAATTTTCCGTTGCTATGGGTCTGTACGACAAAGAGTTCGCGAAGACAGTCGAGTCCAAATCGTTGCAAGGAGAAATGCAAGACGTGCAGGAGCAGTATTGGATTTCCATCACGAACTCGAAAGTATACAATCCTGGAGTGTCAAAGGCATCCGCACTCCGCTCACCCGCGTTGAGGTATATACATTACATACTTGTGCATACTCTAACAGGGCGTAACTCCAGTAGTAGCGTCATCACGCGGGATGACCTAAAGTATCTATGGAGCATGGAGCGTGGGTTTCCTATCCATCTCGGGTATTGTCTTGCACAACTACTAGCTAGGCAGGCAGGCGACGGCCGTTTACGGGTCATATGTATCGGTCCGTACGTGAATCGGCTGGCGCATGGACTAGGAGTCACGACGGGATTTGTGGAGAGCCCCGCGTCGAAGATGAAGCCCGGTGGCATTGACGTCCTCATGCAAATGGGCCTAATCCAGAGGCGACGGCGTGGGGATCCGGTTACGCACATTGACAAAACTATGAGCAATTCAGGCGAGCAAGGATCCGGTAGATGCAGTCGTTGTCGGATTCCACCGCCGTCTTGAGGAGATGGAGAAACGCATCGAGGCTCACCTACTGGCGATTGAGCGCAGAGTTGATGCATTGTGCGCGCACTCTCCAGTGTTGGACGGAGGGCCATCCTCGTCGGGTGCATTGCGACTATCGCGTAAGTGATAATATACTTGTTTGCTCAATGAACAAACTAGGTGCTACTTGTATTCGGCGACGACATCATGTACTCGTTTTCCTTTCGACGTTTTGTTGGCTTACCTAAGTCTCGGTCCAATTGGAATTGTACCGCCCGTCTGTTGGACGCCATATGTGCATGATGTGATTTTGTCGTTGACGGTTGTTAACATTTTATTTTCGGCATACTCTATCATGTCGGGTACATTGGTCATATTATATATTAAACGTAATTTGCACCAAAGAAATATTTTTTGCACTAGGCCGGCCGTACGTAACCGAAGGCTTCTACCGGGAACCATTTTTCCTAGAAGTTCTTCCGCGGGTAAAACGCCACACTTTATACTTATTGCATGTTATTATGTAATACTCCCTCTTTTCCGGAATTTTTATTTGTTTTACTGTAGGCACGACAATTTATGAGGGGATACATAGACAATAATTTCAAAATATATTACTGGAAGTAAGCATCGTGTAGTAAAAATAATTATAGATTACGATTAAGATAACTGATTAATATAATTAAAATTAATGAAATTATAAATTAAATTTTTAAAAATAAGACTTAAATGTATAACACTATTACAAATAATGACAAAATTAGTGGAATGGACAAAAATAAAAAGGTGGACATAACAAGTGGTATGGACGCAGTATAAATAATTAATTAAACTAAATTAATAATCACATCAGTGCAATCATTATCTATCACATCACTGCTCAACAAAACCCACTAAATCCAAATATAAACCTACTACACCAAAGGAACGCGGATTCCAAAACTCCTAAAAATTAAAATCCGACCCAAACCTAAACCAAATCTTCCCAAACCCAACATAAAAGAACACACCCTTAGTTTTTGTTTAAATTTTATTATGATGTGATGTTTTTGTTAGAATAATAATGTATTTTATTGAAAATTGTGTCAAATAATAGTATTATTTTGGTTTGAAATGTTAAAATAATAAATTCAAAATTTTAAACTAAAAGAAAATTATAAAAAATATTGGTGCATTAATTACTCTCTCCGTCCTACTTAAATTGTCCACTTTAGCTCAGACACAGAGATATTATATAATTAGTAAGTAATTTAAAAGTATATTAGTAAAAATAATTATGATTTAATAAAAATAATTATATTTGAAAATTAAAATGACTAAATGGTTTACTTAAAATTTTTAAAAAAACTATAAATTATAAAATTTAAAATGTGATTAAAGTGTATAATTATATTTTCAAAAAAGAAAATGACAAATTATATGGACAGGCTGAAATAAAAATACTAAACAAATTAAGTGGGACAGATGGAGTAAGACTCTCCCCTTCCGTCTCGGACGAAAGCATACACTTGAACTTTTGTAGTACTTTATTATTTCTTTTGGAGAAAAAAAAAACTATGTATAATTGTTTTATATTCGGCCTCTTTGTAGTTATATATAGATATATATATCTAATGATACTTTTTTAGTCCTAAGATAATTTATACCTTTCATTATGTACACAATGATAATTATATTTAATTAGTTAATAATAATAAATTATGATATTATTTTATTAATTTTTTATACTCCCTCCGTCCCACATGATTTATTTCTATTTTATATTTTCGTTCGTCCCACATAACTTGTCTTTTCTATTTTTGGAAATATAATTATGCACTTTAATTACATTTTAAATTTTAAATTTTATAATTTTCTTAATTTTAATTAAACTATTTACTTATCTTAATCTAAATTTATAATTATTTTTAGTAAATAATAATTATTTTTACTAATACACTTCTTAATTACTTCCTAATTATACTTTACCTAAATTCTCAGTGTCTACAGTAATACACCTATATTGCATGGGACGGAGGGAGTATAATTAATAATATTGATAATTTTAAAATAATTTTAATATATATAATTAAAAAATTAGAATATGCATTTAAATATTCTAAAATTTATATCCCAATAAAAAATAGATGCAATATGAATATGTACAAATAAATAAAATATTTATTTTATTTATTTATAATTAAGATAAATTAATTTTATATTAAGGTGAATTTAAATGTAGATATATTTTTTTTTTGAAGAAAGATAAAAATAAACAGATTTTGAGAAGTTAATTAAATTGATTTATATTTAGTAAATAAGTTTTGATTTAGTAAGTTTATCCAAAATAAAAATATGTCAATTATTATGTGATTGATAAAAATGAAAAAAAATATCAATTGTTATGGAGAGAATATAGTTTATGTATAAATTAATGATATTTTAATATTAATATATGATTAAGAAATATAATTAAAAATTGTACAATAAAAATAACAAAATTAAAAATTAATTTTTTTTATCAGTAATAATACTTTTTAACTTTATAAAATATTAAGTAATAGTATGAAATAATAATTTTAATTATAAATATATATTTTCTATAAGTGTTTGTTTGTAAAATTTTTGAAGTTTAAGTATAAATTTAAGAATAGTTTTGAATTTAAATAGTTAATTGATATATTTTATAAAAATATTAATGTGATATAAAATAACAATTAATTGATATTTTAAATATTTTTCCTGTCTCATATTATATATCAATTTGTTTTTTCAGGAAGTTTTAAAAATATTAGTATTATATCGTAGAAATAAAAGTAAAATGATTAAATTGTAAATTAGAAGGGTATTTGTAATATTAGATACACAGTACAATTATAAAAAAAAAAAAATTAATAATTTGTTATCGAATAGACCAAAATAATAAAAATTGATAAATTATTAAGGCACGAAGTACTAAATAAGTTTTTAAGTATGATATAAAAAATATGAAAAAAAAAAATTATTTAATTTAATAATTTTTTGAGAAAATGTTGAATAATAAAAATCCGCCAAAATATTTATTTAATGCTTTTTGCCCTAAACAAAACATCCACTCCCGCAGCAGCCTGCACCATCATCTTCTTCCTCACGTTCGTTCTCCTTTTTGGCTGCTTTTCGTCTGAAATTCGTAAGTTTCTTGCGCTACTTTTTATTTGTTTTTTTGTTATTAAAATCAACGATCGGGATATCACCTTCTCCTCTTTATTTTAATTTTTAGTTTTTTTTTTCAATGGCTGCTGTTATGAGCATTTAAGGTTTTGATTGTTTCGTGTTAGTTGCAATCGACTGTGTTGATTTGAGTGAATATCAGTCAAGTTTAAGGTTTTGCATTCTATTTTCTTTAATTTTTGGTAACAAAGTTAATGTTGGATTTGTACAACTTTAGTGTTAATCTCTCTGTGTATGTTTGGTGATAATTCCTGAAGGTTTTCAAGGATGTATTAGTGCTCAAAATGCTCTTGGTGTTGTTTATTGTGAGGAGACTTTATTGATGGCATTTCTTTGCTTAAAGTTAATTATGTTCCGGTCTTGTGACTTTGATTTTGGACATGACTCCATTTTGGCAGAATTTTTGTTTGAATTTATAGACAGTTGCTGTTGACCTTTTGCATCCTTTTATGATTGGTAGTTTTGGGTGATCCTTAATTTTCCTTCCCTTATCAATTTTCTTGGATTAGTTGTTGAGATATCTCCACATGATTTTCTACATTTTGTAGTGTGCACTTTTCACCTACTGACATCTATATATCTTACCCATTGTGAACAAAGCAGGTATTAATGCTATGTTGTTTTAGAAGGTGGGGCTGGTTTGGAATAGGTGGGAGTATGATTACTTGTGGACCAATAGAGATTTTTTGGTTATTCTTTCTTCGGTGTGTTTGAGCTTCTGATTTCCATTATCCATTTCCTTATCAAAACTTTAACTTGATTTCCATATGTTCAATTTCAAAGTTAAATTGAGCTCCTCAGCACTCGTAATCCTAAAAAAACTGCAGTTTCTAAATAACCTGAGTTGTGCTTATATTCCCTCCAAACACTTCCATGGGGATGTTCATAAGAAACCTCAAAAGAGACAACGCCCTCACAACCGCACCCGCAACCAACGTCGTGAATCCATTCCATTTCTCACCCATCTAAAGCAATGTGAAAACTCCGAAGAATTCCTCCCTGTTTTCCATGATTTCCGCAAGATGGGCTACAAACATGGCTATCCTTCATATGCCTCTCTTGTTTACAAGCTTGCTCGTTCAAAAAAATTTGAGGATATCAATGCTGTTTTGGATTTCCTGCAGACCAGTGATATAAAATGTGGAGAAGCTATGTTTATTGGATTGATTCGGCATTATGGGAAGGCAGGTATGATTGACAAAGCTGTGGAGGTCTTCCATGAAATGGGGAGGTCATTCAACTGTGTGCGTACTGTTCAATCTTTTAACACAATTTTGAATGTTTTAGTTGATGGTGGTTGGATTCCCAAAGCCATAGAGCTTTATGAGAATGGTCGGACAATGGGATTTAGGTTGAATTCAGTTACGTATAATATTATGATGAAAATGTGGTTGGGAAAGGATGAGTGGGAAAAGGCAAGAGAAGTGTTTAATCAAATGCTTGACAGAGAATTGGAGCCAACTGTTGTCACTTATAATTCGCAGATAGGATATTTATGCAAAAGGGGCAATGTGGATGAGGCAAAAAGAATTTTCAAGGACATGAGAGAGAAAGGAAGGCAAGGGAATGAAATTACTTATGCTTTGCTAATGGAAGGTTTATGTGCGCTGGGAAAGTTCAAAGAAGCAAAGAAACTGATGTTCGATATGGAATACCATGGATGCAAAGTGCATGTTGTGAATTTTGGTGTCTTGATGACTGATCTTGCCAAGCGAGGGTTAGTTGATGAAGCAAAAGCATTGCTAGTTGAAATGAAGAAAAGACAGATAAAGCCAGATGTGGTTATGTATAATATATTGATTAATTGTTTGTGTAAAACACATTCAGCTTTGGAGGCATATAAAATACTGGTTGATATGCAGCTTAATGGCTGCAAGCCCAATGCTGCAACCTACAGAATGGTGGTTGATGGGCTTTGTGAAGTTGGGGATTTCTCTGGAGGGCTGAAGGTGTTTAATGCAATGCTTCATAGTCAACATTTGCCTCGTATTGATACATTCGGTTCTCTGTTTGTTGGTTTAGTTAAGTCTGGAAAAACTGATGATGCTTACTTTGTTTTGGAAGTGATGGAAAAGAGAAAGATTACCTTGGATTTGGACTCATGGCAGATACTTATTAGTGATTGTTGTCCGGGTGATGCATTTGTTAGTGAGTGTTTGGATGATGTTATTTCTTCTGGTTGATGTATATGCGTGAAGACAGAATTGATCTAGCTGGCTTGGTTACCTCATATGAAGTCCCGGTAAAACTTGTAAATTGATACCTATAGAGGCTTCTTAAATGTCAAGACCAATAAATTCAAAATTTCACTATTGAAAAATCTAAATCCTCAAACAAACATACCCTATATATATCTTCGACGATGGTTTATGGAGTTGTGGATTTAAAAAATGCCTTTGTTGTTGTTGTCCCCCCCAGTCTGTGTTGTGGTTGTGAGAGATTAATTGTTCTGTTTTTATTAGTTAATTGTCCTTGAGTTATCTTTCTGATGACTTTTGCCTTTGAAGATATAGTAATTTTGAAGATCAATTTTGCAAATTTATCTACATAGACTTGGGATGACTCTGTGTGTGCGCACATGGTTGCCTTTTTTGGTTGATCATAAACCCCATTTCATCCTCAATTCAGTGATCTAATTATTGAGGGGCATATGCTCCTTGATTAATTGCTATGGCAGCAATGAGGGCTGACAATGTTCTATCCCAACTAAAATCTGTTGTAGATTGATGAGTTTTATTACTAATGATAGAAGCTGTGTTAATATTATTATATATTCAAACTTTTCTAGGTTTTTCTCTTGACATACTTTTTTCAGTTGTAAGTGTACTTAATCATCTGTTGGCAAACGGAAATCAATATTATGTTTTGAACTTTTATGTAGTTACTAAAGTTCTATGCTTGAGGTAAACATCTAATTATGGTGGATTGCAATTAGCAAAGGGAAAATAGTGATATAGTGCAATATATATGAGCTGAGGATTTTTTATTGTACTAGTTAGATTTACTTGACCAGACTCCAGCCTTCTTTTGAGATTTTTATTTAGAGATTCAGATTCAGGCTTGGCCCATATTTTGATGGACCCTACTAGGCCCCACAGTTTAGCATGAACACTCAGGACTTAAAGTTATATCCCAGACATGGAAATGTTTTGAGGGAGTTAACTTGTGTTTCTGCGAGAAGTGACTACGAGATCTACATGCCAAATAATAATAATAACATAAAAGAAAAGGGGGATGCTAAATCATAAGCTCTTTTTTTTTTTTTTTAAAAAAAAAAAAGTAAAGAAAAAAGAAACCATGCTTTCATTCTATGATATGTTCATCAAGTGTCAGTGGTATATGATTTTGACTGGCGTTTCTACTTTATTGAATCTATCATTTCATACTTCTAACATTGGGAGCAATTTCATGTAAGCACAAAGTAGTATCTTTTCAGCATGATTTTCTACTTCTAGCAATGGTTTATGTTCTCAACCAGTCTTCTTGCTATACAGGTATCAATGTTGTTTCTTTTCAGAAGGTGTTGTTGGATAGAACATGGTGGAGATTGTGTGCATTGATGGTGACAAGTTGTGGGCTGATAGTGTTTTCAGTTATTCTACACTACATTTGGTTTGCTTGAGCTTGAGTTTTGAGTATTATTTTTCTGATTTACTTGTCTCCTTGGTTTTATGAACTTCGCCTGTGAATGCTTCATTGTTGGTATGCTTTTCTGGCAGTACATTTACTTTTTATTGTGTTGAGTATAGCATTTATTTTAGTGTGAGGTTGGGTGATTTGAGTTGGGTGATTTGAGTTGGGAAAGGCTCGAGCGTGAGCCAGGGTATTGCTCAAAATTCTCCTATGTGAACTTTTCATTCATTGTTGCTGAACATCCTAATTTATCCAGTCAAGCGTCACATCCGTGTTGTGCCTAATGGGGACACCATCAGAAGCTGTTATACGACACAAATATCGACTAAAAACCCCCTCAGCTCCTTCAACTGCTCCCAGTTCTGCTGTGTCCTCGTCGTACTTGAAACAAGTTTGAACCTCTTACTATTCCTTATCATTAAGCATTATGGGGTTCCAACCAAGTGTTTACTCATCTTTCATTGGTGCTGCACTTCTAGGAATATTTGTTGCATGATTGGTGGCTAGTGAAAGTCATTTCGGATTTCCATGGCAAACGACTAGGAATTGAAGGTTTTTCTTCCAGAGAGTAATGTTTACAATCTTATTCTTTTTCCATTTTGTTTATTGGTGTATCTGTTTACAACATGTTACCATTATTCCTGAATGAGAAAATTATCAGTCTTTCTCCCATCATTTGTTCGACGTAGAGACTGTGATAAAAAAAGCTCAAATAAGTCAAATTTTAGCGGATTTCTCCTAAATTAGTAGAAGCTTGAATGGCTGCTAGGAGATTGGAGTGTGTTTGAAATGTGTATTATCTGGAATCACTAACTTTATTTTCTGTGGAGATTTGTAAAACTTGTTGTATCCAAGCGGCCGTATTTGTTAACACTTACTATATCCTAGTCAAGTCAAGTAAAATCAATGTTAATTAGCTAATTATAATTGCAATCTTGGTTTACACATATCTGCAAAAATGTCTAGAAGCTCGAAGTGTTCCTTTTTACCTTGTGGTTTAAACAAGTTATTAGATATTTCAGTATGAGAAGTACATAATTAAGTTGCATTGCTATGATGTTGAGATGAGATTAGATTAGATTTATTTTCCTGTTTGGTTAATGTTAAAACAGTAGATACTGAATTCATTTCTTTACATTACCTCAAGTAAGCATTTTTTTTTTTTTTTTCATAATTATTTATATCCTGAATACAGCAGAGGTGTTGTGAGATGTTTCTCGTCTGCGCCAATTGTCAAGAGAATCGATGCTGTTACTCTGGCCACTGCTGATGGCAAGACAGTTATGGTCCATGGACATCTTAATAGGCACCGCTCTCTCCAAAATGGCTTCTCTCATGAGGTACCCTATATTGTTGTGTTTTTAGTCATTCCTATGCTACGCTATGTTTAGGAATAAAGAGATTTACCGAACATGCCGAAATACCGATTTATCGTACCGTATTGTATTGAAAATAACAAAAATTTTGGTACGGTATGGATATCATACTGAAGTTTTCGGTACGGTATCGGTATAAATATTTGGAAAGTTCGGTATTTCGGTATAATAGGTATTTCGGTATGATAGTGTACTGAAAAATATGCATGACTACTGAAAATTTATTTATTTTTTCATAATTTTTTTGTAGTGTAGAATAGTGATATTTATTACTTTTGTTTTAATTATTTTGAAATTAAGATTACATTTTCGGTATAATCGGTATATACCGGTATCGTACTGAAATCGAAATTTTAGGTATAAGCGGTATATATTGATATTTTACTAAAATCGAAATTTTAGGTATAAGTAGTATATACCGGTACCGTACCGAAAGTTTTTATATACTGAATTTCGGTGTGCCGAAACTTTCGATACGGTACTGGTATGTATTATCATCATACTGAAAAGTTCCATACTGAAAAGTTCGATACGGTATCGGTATTTTCGGTACGGTACGGTATGCCATCCCTAGCTATGCCATGCATCAAATCATATTCCTAGGCTATGCCTATTCAACTAAAGCTCTAGTCTACATATTTTCTGAATGTTACTTATGTGCTTGCTTGTATTCTTGAACAGATATGCCAACATTTTATGATCGGATTTCCGTATTATTGGGAAGAATTTGCGGGTGCAGGCGTATCAGCTGTTGATGAAACGGCAATTCTAGAAGGGCAATCAGAAATGGATGTTTCGGAGCATAAAAAAGAAAGTCGACATAAGAAGAGAGACACAAGAAACAAGTCAGAAGTAGAGGAGGACATAAAAAGCAGCAGTGTGGACTTAGAAATGGAAGTTTCTGAGCATAAAAATGAAAATCCAAATAAAAAGGTAGGAGGGCGAAAAGGGCGACCTAAGAAGAGAGGAAGAAGAAGTAATTCTGAAGTAGAGGAGGGTATGGCTATAAAAAGCAGCAGTGTGGAGCATACAGGTCGATTGACGAGAAGCAAAACTCGATTATTACGGGAAAAGTAGGGGGTGTTTGGTAGAATTGCAAAAAATTATCGAATAGCATTTGTTGAACCCAATTAGGAGCATATCTATGATTAGTGTATCATAAATGATTCTTGAACTGAACGGATTAACGGCCCCGAATTCAAGTTGATTCTATTTCGCCTTAACGGTCGAGTTCTATGGTGACGAACTCAATGGAGTTAGTCATACCAAAAGGAAATGGTGATAAGAAGATTTGTCCTAATGTACTTATTGGTGCACGTAAGAGTGCACATGGTACGGAATGTGTCGGTCAAATATTCAATAGAAAAATATTTTTGGTAAATTACATAACACATCTTTATGTTTTATTAAAAATATACAAAATATGCATGAAACACCCTCATTGTCCAAAATTGATGTTTAGTAGTTCGAAATAAAGACTTAAATTACGTAAGTTTTATACAAATAAAAAATGTAAAATATTTTAAATAATTTTTTTAAATAAAATAAATAAATAAATAATTGATCAATCATTTATTTTTATAATTTCTATAAAAATCAGACAACAATTTTTCTCCAAAAATTATAAAATAAAGGATTAATAAATTATTTATTTAATACAAAAAAATTATTTAAGATATTTTTCACTTTTTATTTGTATAAAACTTGCGTAATTTAGGTATTTATTTAGAATTAAATATCAGTTTTGGACAAGAATGGTGTTTCGTGCAAACTTTACATTAAATATCACATTTTTGTTTGAATAATAATTTGGCTAAATTGCACAAAATCCACTTGTGGTTTCATGAAATTACACCAAATCCCTCATATTTTTAAAATTGCGTCAAACTTTTTCGTGGTTTCATAAACTTTGCGTCTAACCCCCTCACCAGTCCTTATTTAACGGTATTTGACCTAAATGCGCTCAAACTGCGAATAAATATTATAATCTCAATTTCTAAACCCCTAAAATTACAAATATATTTATTTTTTTATATATTTAACCTAAAAAAATAGTAAAAATAAACTGTTAAAATTTGAGAAAAATAACTACTCCCTCCGTCTCATGTAATATGGGTGTATTACTGTAAACACGGGAATTTAGGTAAAGTATAATTAGTAAGTAATTAAGAAATGTATTAGTAAAAATAATTATTATTTAGTAAAAAAATAATTATAGATTAAGATTAAAATAACTAAATAGTTTAATTAAGATTAAAAAAAATTAAATTTTAAATTTTAAAATATGATTAAAGTGTATAATTAATTTTCCAAAAAAGGAAATGACAAATTATGTGGGACGGACGAAAATATAAAATAGGGACAAATTATGTGGGACGGAGGGAGTATTTTTTAGTATATTTACTATTTTTTAAGGGTAAATATAAAAAAAATAAATATATTTGTAATTTTAGGGGTTTATAAATTGAGATTTTAAATTTTTTTCGCAGTTTGAGCGCATTTAGATCAAATACCGTTAAATAAAGACCGCTGAGGGAGTTAGACGCAAAGTTTATGAAACCACGAGGGAGTTTGACGCAGTTTTAGAAGTACGAGAGATTTGGTGCAATTTTATGAAACCACTGGTGGATTTTGTGCAATTTAGCCTAATAATTTAGTGTCATGAGTTATTATATCTATAATTCCTCATCATTTATATATGTTATCTTGCATATATTATCGTTTGTTACTCTCTAATTTTCAAGTTCGACAAAGCGCGGTGGCTCAACTCGGAGGATTAGCCCTCCAGTCCACGAAGAAGCTCAATCCAGTTCGGAGGCCCATCACAAATGAGAATTAGATTAGCCCAAAAGTCCAGTCCGGCAAATTTAATTTGGATAAAAAAACATTGAAAAGAGTTTGAAAAGTTAGATGCTGGGTTGGTTTATTTGACGTCGATTGTCTCCAACCAACGTCAAATCCAACGCCAATTTTGGCGTTGCTATAGTGCAACGTGAATTTTGGTGTTGCACTGTAGCAACACTATTTTTTGGCGTTGCTTTATTATTATTTTTTTAATTTTTTTTATTTTTAAAATTATAAATTTGATTTTTATTTTTAAAAATTTTATTTTAAATTATAAAAATAAAAAATTGTTTAAAATAATACGAAAAATTGAATATTTGAAGAATAATAGTGAATAATGGAGTTACAGTTGAAATAAAATTACTGTAACAACGACATATTTAGAGTTAAAAATGGATAAATGAAGTTGATGGGTTGAAGACGATCTTACGTAACATAAATATATAAATAAGAATAGGATGGGGAAAATAAATCATCACCAGAACCACTTCACTGCAGCCCCTTTTTTTTATTCTTGGATTAATTTATTTAATTTTCCAGAAAAAAAATTATCTATTTTTACTTCCAGATTTGTGTTGCTTTCTTATTTTTTTCTTATTTCGTTTGCTATGTTTCAGCACCATTTTGAATTCGAGTGCATTATTGTTTGATTTATTTAGTCCAACTTTATTTATTTTGAATCCAATTCCAAGTCCAACCAATTTTATATCTAGTCAGATTTGCTTCCATATGCTTATGTTGTGTTTTATTCAAATTCGAATCGGTTAATCAAGATACCGTCAGCTACGGAAATTCGAACCGATTGGCGAGACTAGCCTAAATACTTCCTTAAGTAGGCCGGGGAACTGATTCTTGTATTCGATTGGCCTAAATCCGTTGGACCGTTATGAATGAATTTCAACGACAACATATTGGCACGCCCAATGGAATGCCAACGAATCTCACACTTTTTATGCAATTAAGGAATTACAAATTACCATCGCCAGAGAAAACTGCAATGTTGAAAAAAAAGAAGTCGCCGGAGAAACTTCAACCCACGTATTTACGGATAAGTCACGCATGATGAATGATCAGCAGTTCCAAGAGGTGTGGACAGGATGGCTACGATCCCTACGAGCGTTCTTTAAGATCAGATTCGTGGGGAAATCCAATCTGCCATCCACGAATCGGCATTGACGTTCGCTTGGTATCTTGCCGACATTCTTAAGCTGACCATCCGAAACGAAATCACATGGATGAGAGAAGAGGAACTGCACGAGGGCAAGGCACCGGCGGCCAACTCCGGAGATGATAAAAATGCTCCTTCAGTGAAGACAACACAAGGAGATACGTCCGGACAATCCTCAATGATGCTCCAACATGGTAACGTAATAATATTGAGCAAAGAAAAAGAAAACAATAACTTTCTAGATGAGACAGTGGCTCAAGGACCTTGACGGTCCTCGGGGTAAGCCATCGCCATATCAGGGACATTTGGGGGGCTACGGGTACGCACCACCGGCGTCCCAATGGCACAATAATCATTTGTTCGATGACATAAGTGTGCCGACATCACCTGCGGAGGTGTAAGGTCAGGAAAACCTCCCTGCCGGAGAAGGAGCTACTTATCATTGGGGGCATGACCGACCACGGCTCAACACTTCCGGTCGCCCCACCAGCTTTGATGATCACTTAGGAGATGTTCGCTCCACCTCCAATCACACCCCTGGGGGCAGCCCACCTCCTCTGGGCCCGTGGGGTTCAGCTCTGTCAGCGGTGACAGTCACTTGGGGCTTGGCTATACCAACTCTGACCGTGCCACCTCTGTTTGGGGGGCTCGCGACGTATCAAGAAGTATCATTTGCTGGACCGGCCGCACAACAAGCAGGGTCCCCCGGTCCAATTCAAAAACTTTTTTCCTCTGCCGATAGTATCTCTACGCATACCAGCTGAGGGGAATCGGGTACGTCCATCTTCGGCTCACATTCCACAAGTGTAATGCCTCAAAGTGTATAAAATAATATTATTATATCAAATAAATATTTTTATAATATTTTAAGATCAAAAAATTAATATTTTGAAATAAATTTTATTCCTATTTTATATGTTAATTAAAATTAAAAATATTATTAAAAATAATAAATATCGATAAAAATATATAATATATTAAAATAATACTCCTTCCCTTCCAAAACTATAGTCTGGGTTGTGTTTTATATGAGATTTAAGGAATAACACGAGATTTAATGAATATTGATATTATATTGGTAATGCGTAAAAAGTACTGGTAAAAGACTTTTTTTTGCCTCGTGAGTGTATTAGTGTAAAAAGTAGTAGCAATTGTATAATAATAATAAAAAAGTAAGAGTAATTTTATAGTAATATGATTATTTATGGGAATAAGACTATTGTTTTGTGACGAACAAAAATGGTAACCAAGACTATTGTATTGGGACGGAGAGAATATACTTTTAATAATATAATAATAGTAAAGATGAAAACAATGATGGTGGACTGAGGATGTTAATAATAATAATAAATATAATATATATATATATGGATAAACTGTTTTTTAGTCTCGTAACTAGACCCCTTATCATTTTTGTCCCGTAAGTGGAGCCTGTTGCAAACTAGTCCCATAAGTGAAAATTTTTCGTTGTTTTAGTCCTCCGGCGCCGGAGACGCCCGCGTGGCGACACCTGGTGGACACGTGGATTTTTTTTTTTTGTTCATTTTTTTAAATTTTTTTTAAAACTTATTTTTAATTTATTTTTAATTTTATTTGCATTTTTTTATTTTTTTTATTTGATCCAATTAAAAAAAATTAAAAAAAAAAAATAAATCCACGTGTCCACCAGGTGTCGCTAACCTGGCGGGACACCTGGTGGACACGTGGCCTTCGGCGAGCCACGCGGGCGTCTCCGGCGCCGGAGGACGAAAATAGCGAAAATTTTTCACTTATGGAACAAGTTTGCAACATGTTCCACTTACGGGACTAAAATGATAAGAGGTACAGTTACGAGACTAAAAAACAGTTTACCCTCTATATATATATATATATATAAATAATCCAAAACTAACCCTTACCTTAAAAAGGCAGAAGCAAGATCGCGCATACAAGAGAAGAGAAGAAAGGAAGAAGAAGAAAAACAAACAAAAAATTTAGATCATTCGATTTCTATTCCGGCTTTAATATAAATTTGAATATTTGGGTATTAAATTAGAAATTTTTCAAAAATTTAAGCTATTTTACTATTTAATTGATGAATTTCTATCAATCCAAGTCGAATTGAAAACGACATTGTATTGTGATAGCCTGTTTGTTCATATCATTTTAAAAAACTTATTTAATAATCGGACGATATCAAAAATAAAAGGTATAAGGATTTTATAGCTAGAATATCTAATTCTACTAAATACTCCCTCCGTCCCGGAACTAAATATCCATTTGTTTATTGCACGTAGTTTTAGAAATATTAGTATTTGGGATATAGTAGGAACAAAGTAGAAATGACTAAAATAACTTTATTAGTATATGTGATATAAAGACAATGGCATTTGTGTAATATATTATAAGTTATAAGGGTATTTGTAATGTTAGGTAGATAGTACAGTTACTGAAAAAGGAAATGGATACTTTGTTATGGAACGGACTAAAATGAAAAAATGGATACTTTGTTATGGGATGGAAGGAGTATAAAAGTTTGAAGTCGGACGAGCTAATTATATAAATTAGCTTTTGAATAAACAATTTATAATCAAATTTTACCCTTATTATTTAGAAATAAAAGTATTTTTTAACTATTTTTAAATATTAACTATGAAAATATTTATAATATTAATATTCTTTATTTTTAAAAAGCTCATGACTTAGATGAAACTAATATTAATATTAATATTTTATTTTTTTTTTATTTTTAAAAAGCCCGTGGATTGATGAAATTTTTATATATACATATTGTTGTGTACAAAAAAAAATGATGTTAGAGTTTAAGCCCTAGTGGCGATCTAGTGGAGGGCCATAGTCATTCGGTCGGGTTGAGGCCAGGTTGGTTGGACGGTGCCTCTACGGATAGTTTTCATCTGAGTTTGGGCCTTGGGACAACTATAAAGGTAACCAACGTAAAAAAAGTTTTTCGGACGGAATAGATCGGTAACCGACGAGAAAACACTTTTGGACAATTCAAATCGGTAATCGACGAGGAAGCAGCTTTAGACGATTCAAAGATAACCAACGTGGAAGCGGTTTTTGATAGTTACCGATGTGGAAGCAGTTTTTTTACCATTATCGATGTGAAATCAATTTTTTAGACGGTTCAAGGGTAACCGACATAGAAGCATTTTCAGACAGTTTAGTTTGATATGTATATAAGCAACCTCAGCGATAGAGGATGACATCTTCAATCACAATCAGACAAAATTTCAAGACATTAACAATATTAATATTATCTAATGTCTGTCTAAAATCTGTGATCTCAGACACTCGTTAAAATTTGAAATATATTTTTGAATTTTATTTTTTTATGTTAAAATTTTACCATCCATGTATATATATACACATGTCATGAGATGAGATGAAATAAAAGTGCAAAGGAGCGAAGTATACATCTTTTAGACCGGAAGAGATGAGCATTGTAATTTGATATGTACCATCCATCACACAATACAATTAATGATGATGTTACATTACATATATTCGATCATTCATTCATTTATTTGTTATTGTTGTACCGTTGAGCTTCTGCGTAATTTCCGCGACGTACTTGCCTTGATGAAAGGCCTGCTGCAGTTCCAGCTGTGACGGCTGCCGTGAACCGTCCGCTGCATAAGTTCCGGCTCCATAAGAAGATCCGCCCTTCACCTGCTCCATCTCAAACATTCCGCTGCCGAAGGTGTACCCCATCGGAACAAATATCATCCCGTGATGCGCCAACTGAGTCACCGCCGTCAATCTGCACAACACACCACTTACTCTTGGAAGAAATCCAATCCCACAATCTCAATTATTGAAAAACACCTTTCAAACTTCATTTACGTGTTATTGAACTAACATCACTCCGACTCCTATTTCACATTCAAAATTTTTAGAATAATAAACTTTAATTCTCTATTTTAATCATAAAAATACGTACATAATTATAGTGATATACAAATTGTTATAAGGTTAAGAATCCTATGAATATAACTGCCATAAATATAATATATAGATTCTAAATATATTTTAACATAAATAATTCTAGTCCAAAACACACTAGCCACAAGTTTTTCAACTTTAACTTTTATTTTTGAGACTATAGGGTTGCTCTTACTATTAGTCCACTAGTTATTTCTAAACACGGAGCCTCTATTTACATATGCTTTCAACTTTGTTTTCGCATTGTTCACCAAAAGTTTTCTATTTACATTAAATTAAACAATTATTTTCTATTTGAACTTTTTACTATTCTGTAATCAACTCAAAACTTCAAAACATGTCAAAAAACACGGCTTAACGAATAAATTTCAAAAAACTAACATGAACTCTCTCTTCACATCACATATATAAAATGTTTGATGATTTAACATCACATCCAACGTTTATTTACATTGAATCAAACATTTAGGTTGTGTTCTTTTGTAAGTTTTACTACAATTTTTTACTATTCAAATATTTTTTTCCTAAAAAATAATTACATCAATTTATTTTTCATTCAAAATATCGCATCAATATCTATTTATATAACATCAAACAACTATTCAAATTCAACTTTTTATTATTAAAAAATCCAACCCGAAAAACTAAAACCCACAAACAAACACACCCTTATTTTCTATTCAATCTTTTACTATTCATATATCAACTCAAAACATTTTCAAAACATATCTAACACACCTTAATGAATAAGCTTCACAAAACTAACATAAGCTCTCTCTTTACATTATCAAAGGTTTGATGATTTAAACATTATTCAAAGAACCTGATATATGTATATATATATAAGCAATCGAAACGAGATGGCTATATGGAATTATAAATACGAAGAATTTACTTACGCCGTAAGTTCCTGTCCACCGCCATGGAAGCCAGTGCTCCAGAAGATTCCAGCAGGCTTACCAGCAAGTGCTTGCGTAGCCCACAAATCATGTGTGGCATCGAAGAAAGCTTTACATTGTGCAGCCATAACTCCAAATCGTGACGGGAAACCAAAGATGAAGCCATCAGCCTCCACCAACTGTTCAGGCTTGATCTCGGGGACATCATCTGCCTTCTCAGGAGCCTTCATTTTCTCCAACACCCTTTTAGGCAGTGTTTCGGGTACCTAATTAGAAGAGAGCACCCACCCTCAACTACTAGTGCCACATGACATTTGGGTTTTTAGCAATGAGTTCATGATGACTAATCAACAATCTCTCACAAGTCACATAATATCCTAGAGGACTGACTGATCATAAAACAAGTATCGATGATTCTAAGTAAATAAACATATATATGTGGGGATGTTATGAGCATCTTCTAAGATACCTTCAAGTTCAAAAGATATGAAGGAACTGTTATAAATCCTTTTATCTTCCTCGCCTTGTCTTCATTGACCTCTTAGTCTAAATATTCAAAATAGAGTATGTATCTCATAGCCAACAAGCTTCAAACACCTTATATTTTTCTTCTAATTCCTCCAAAATTCGATAATTTCAATTCGAACGTATTTCTTGCCCAAAATCTAATCCTACTTGAAGGAAAATTCTCTAGAATGAATTAAGAGCAATGAAATAAAAAAAAGAGAATAGAATAGATAACTGTGGAAAAATTCCTAAACCTTCCTCACCTCCACTTTCATCTTCGCAATTTCTCTACTCAAAATTCCGAAAAATGAAAAGATGAAAAATAAACTGAAGTTTTGGGAAATCCAAATCCAAATCCAAAATCGAAGAGATTGATCGATTCCAATGAAATCGTTTAGACCTGCCAAAGTGTGGCTTCAACACCAGGCACGGTGTTTGCACCTTTCTGAATCTCTCTTGCCATTTGCTCGACATGTCCGTACAACGAATAATAGCTGCGACACAACACAAGGGTAGTTGTAATTCATTCCAATTCCATTTCTATTTCCAGTTCAACAAGAAATTGCAAAGTTAGCTGCTATTGCTTACTTACACTATGTAAACCTTGACGGTGGGCATCGATGGATCGCGAAATAAACCCAAACCCACCCTTTCAGTCAGATAAGCTTTCACCAACCAACTACTATATTAACATATACAAAACCTGAAATCAGAATTAAGGGAAGACGAACGGAACACACAGCCTGAGCCTCAAAAATGCAAATTAGAAACTTTAGCAGCAGCAGCTTAGGTAGGTTGTATGGAAATGGAGAATCTCTGTCAAATTAAATCGGTGGAAGGGGAAGGGAAGGGGAATGTGCGTTATACGATATCGATGATGATATCGTGTGGCTGTTTGATTCTGATGTGTGTCTCTGTGTTTTGTTTTTTCATAATTTATAAACAAGCGTTTCACAGGTCAGAGATTCTCCCTCTCTTCCTCTTCCTCTTCGACAATAATGCATGCTCCCTTTGCATCTGTTAGATGATTTAAAGATTCTATTATATAGGGTGTGTTTCTTCAGGTGAATTTAGGGAAAATTGAGTTGGGGTTGGATTTTTGTTTGAATTTTGGTGTCAGTTTGAATTTTGTTGTTTCTCTTATGTTTGAGTTTGGTTGGGGTTCGAAGAGTTTTTGATGTGTATTGATTTAATGGATAATGAATAAAATAATATAAATATGTATTAAATTTAATTGATAAAATTTATAGTATGATTTATGAATTTATATTATATCTAATATATATATTTAAAATTTTATTTATTTGTATTATTAAAAATTTTATACCCTACAAAATGATATATATATATATATTTTTTATTTAATTATAATAAAAATTAAAAAATATTTTAATTTTTTTTTGAAAAAAAAAAAAAAAGTAACCCTGTAGTGTCCGTAGCAGTCAATAGCAGGCTAAGGCGTAGCCTGTCAGAAGATGTCTAGTGTTCGCGGTCTGGCTCCAAAATCCGGACCAACAGTGGTAAAATAGTAACTTTTTCCCAAACCATTGTAAAGAGACAGATCCATAAATTGTGTTTTTAGTAAAAGTTGTATAAAATACTCCCCTAATATAAAATTTGAACCGTTTGTTCTAAAAAAAAAATACTAAGTTTTATATAAATAAAAAAAATAGAATATCTTAAGTAATGTATTTAATAAAATAAATAATAATTGATCAATTATTTATTTTTATAGTTTTTATTAAAATTAAATAACAATTTGTCTCCAAAAACTATAAAATAAAAAATGAACTAATTATTTATTTATTTATTTATTTTATTCAAAAAAATTATTTAAATATTTTGCATTTTTAATTTACAAAAATTTGTTTAATTTAAATCTTTATTTAGACCCCAATATCAGTTTTGACAAAGATGGTGTTTAGTATAAATTTTACACAATAAATAAAACATAATTTTTACTAAAACTACAGTAGGATTATATAATTTACCCTTTATTTATTTATTTATTTATGGGTTATATAATTTACCTTTTATTTATTTATTTATTTATAAATAACCAACAACATCAAATCAATAACCTCGTAGACTTCCTATTTATTTACTTCATTCGATCCGGATAAATTATTCATATTGCTATACGATAATTTATGTAAAATATAATTAATAAATAACTAAATAGTGTTTTAGTAAAATAATTATGGTATCTATTTGATCCCACCACAAATGATCATTTTTTTTTAATTTTTTTATTAATTTTAAATATATTTAATAAATACAAATCAATTTAATTAAAATTTCAATATCTTATCTATAATATTTATTCAAACTCTTTATTTCTATTTCTCTTTTCAATTAACAAATATTTTTATTTATTTGAAACTTTTCGTTTTTTTATAAAACTAATTTATAATAATAATAAATAAATAAATGTATTTTTTATTTATTTGTATTTATATAAAATTTATTATTTACAAAATAATATCTATATTATATATATTTTATTAAGTATTAATACTAAAAATATTTAAATACATATTTTATTTTTTTTTTAATCATCACATAATTAATTGTCATTATTTAAATAACTAATTTATACTATCTAAATTCTGCTACTCAAATAAAAAGTTTCATTTGAGAGAGAATATATAATAAGATTAATTACAAATTAAAATAAAAATAATTATGCAATCTAATTAAAATTAAAAAATAATAAATTTTAAATTTTAAAATATAATTAAAATATATAATTATATTTTAAAAAATATATAAAATAAACCAAAGTAAAAATAAATAAATAATTTATGTGACACGGAAGTTCCCGAGTATTATTTATCCGCCAATCCAATGAAGTGTGACAATAATGGATGCCCCTTTGCGTCAAATCAATAACCTCGTTGCCGTCGGTGGTGTAGGGGTTGAACTTATTATGGTGAGCAAGGGTGGATGTATGTGGGGACAAGGGGCTCCAGCCTCCCTCCCCCCACTCCACCCCCTTATAATTTTTAATTTTTTGTTTTTATTTTATATTATATAATATAAAAAATAATAAATAAATTAAAAAATTGCAAAAAATTGATAGAATATTTATATGAAAATTTAAATTTTGAATAATAAAAAAATTTATATAATAATAATTTTTTGATAATATAAAAATAAATATGAAAAAAAAAAATAATAAATAATAATAAAAAAAAATCTTCAAAAATTTCTCAATCAAATCCACAGGAAATGATATTTTTAACAGTTTCTTTTTAATAAATATTTTTATTATTTATCAATTTCATATAATACAAAATTCATCTTATAATATGCAGTTGTCAATGTAGATTGATATTTTGCAAGATTTTCGAAATATGATAACTCTATTGATAAAATTATTGGATAACAAATAAATGATGATCGTTTCAAAATTTTAAAAATTAGCCCCCCTATCATCCTGGTCCGATTCCGCCTCTAATCGTGAGATCATCTGCTATACATGGTTAGCTTAGTGTAACTTGCTTGTTGAGCCTAGTTTGCATAGTATTAGGTTCGATCGGAAGTTTAAACTGCTACGGACTTCCACGTTATAAAAATAAAAAATAACCTCATTGGACACGTGTTACGTTATCCACTCGTACTAAAAAAATTTATTTTGTAAAATTAGAGGCGTGGAGCGGAGCAGGCGTTGAGGCATAAATGGATTAATTATTTATGCTAAGTTTGTTGTAGCCCGTGAATGGTTGTTGGATAGAGTAGTAGCATTTTTTATTATATTATCCTCTTTCTATACGCATGGTTTAATACAAAAAAATTGTAATTTTATAATGGGTATAAATTTATTTAACATTTTTCAATAATATTATAATTATTTATATATAACTAAATGTATGATTCGCTTTTTATTTTTCTTTAAAATATATATATGGTATAATATAATTAATTAAAAAAGTGGAAAAAAATATAAAATATAGACATATTGTATTGATATATTTTTTATTTGTATTGATATCAATTGTTAAATTTGTTGTTCGAAATTATGTCGTATGATATTAATTTATATGTTAGTCTTTGTAGATAAATATATCCCATTATCATGTATTATATATATTAATTTTATATATATATATATATAAATATAAGAATAAGATTGATAATTTATTAATTTATTAATTTTTTATTTTTTTATTAGGCTCTAATGCAAATATACTATTTGCTGTAACAAAAAAAAATACATTAAATTATTATTTAAAACAAAAATAATAATAATAATAATAAAAGCAAACATAATTATTAATTTTGGGGGTATATATTAAATACCAAAGCATTTAGTTTAATTTTTATTATAAATATAACAAAATACGTTATAAATTTATTTATATAAATATATCTATTTTTATATAAATAAAATATCTATTTTTAAATGTGTAGACATATTTTCTTTGTAATATTAACAGTACTACATTTTTAATCATACAAATTTAAAGTGTTTTAATCTTAAATATATATTTTAGTAATTTAATTTATAATTTTTTAATATAGTACTCCCTTCGTCCCAAACACCCTGCAACATTTCCTTTTTTGTTTGTCCCAAACTGACTGCAACATTTCAAAATTTAGAAATAATTAATAATATTTATATACATATATTAATATGCACTTCACTTTATCCCATCACATCACTCAAATAAAAAAACAAATAATCATTTATCTCTTCATCCAAATTATCTCAAATTATCATACTTAATATTCCCCACTCCACTTAAATTTTCGTGTCAAACACAAATGTTGCACGATGTTTGAGACGAAAGAAGTACTTCTTTTCTATATATATATTTGCTGATTTACTTAATAGCATAAAAAATGTACGGTAGACTATATTTTCTTATTGAAAAAGTCAATAGTTGTAAATCATTAATATGTTTTTCTTTCTTTAGTCACCTAATATTCTCTATATAATAAATGACTATGAAATGAATAAACCAAAAACATTTAAATTGCCAAATCATATACTAATATCTATCTAAATAGGGGTGCAATAAAGATATTTTAAGAAGAAATTGCACATTTTTAATCATATTATTTTCTTCCAATTTTCCAAATATAGAAAAAGGAAAATTTTTGGCTAATATTATTTTGCAACCAAGTATTCCGAATATAAGATCATAAAAAGAAAATTCTTAGACTCATATTTTTATCCACCAAACATCATAATATAAAAAAGTAAAAAGGATTAGTTTTTTTTATTTTTTAACCAATTATTTGAGATCATAAAAATAAATAATTAACTTTTAATTCTTTTACCAAGCATCACTAATATAAAACAGTACAACAATTAAGATTTAAATAACATAGAAAAAAAATCACATAAAGCAAAGATCAAGGCATAAAATACCTATAAAATGATAAAATTGTAAAAAAAAAAAAAAAATTCTAAACAAAAAGTTAGGCCTTCCAGCAAATGCAGAAAGGAAGAAGAACCACCACAAATGCATTCACTATAAAATTTTTGTTAAGTACATAAAAACATAATAGCAGTTAGGTCAGCACAACATCACCCAACATTTAAAAGTATACATAAAACTAATTATTATTTTTTTGTAATTATTAAAAAACAATATATATTAAAAAAATTAAAAAATAAAAAAATTACCAACAATGATACAGCTGTTGTAACGTATTCAAGATGTGGATATAAATTATATCTAAATATATCATCAACGTCGATGTGATGTAGCATCATTTATTACCATATATGTATTCATATCTTCACTTATATACATGAGTTTTGAATGAAATAAAATTTATCTCATCATTCACTCAATCTCTCTCCTACATATGCATTGAATATTTAATACATAACATACATACACACACATATAATAATTATACATAATCTTTACACTTCATGTGTCACATACACACACAACATATATATATATATACATATTATATTATATATATATATAATAGCGGTTAACGGTAGAAGTAACTAATATTTCTATTG